GGGCTGAAACAAGGAGACCCTAGTTCCCCTATGCTATTCAATTTGGTGGCAGATGTATTCTCTCGAATGCTGATGAAGGCGGTCAATAACAATATAATATCTGGGATTGTTCCCCATATTATTCCGTGTGGTCTTATCTGCTTGCAGTATGCAGATGACACGATATTGTTTCTCGACCCGAAAACTGAGTATGTAAAAAACTTAAAATGGTTGCTTGCTTGTTTTGAAAACCTTTCTGGGTTGAAAATCAACTATGATAAGTGTGAAGTAGTGCCAATTAATATGAATACCGATGAGGCTAAACTATTATCCCAAATTTTCTGCTGTAAGATGGGAGATTTTCCTCTCAAATACTTGGGGATTCCTCTCCACTACTTTAAACTAAGAAGGGAGGATATCCAATACATTATAGATAAAATCATCAAAAGGATTTGTGGTTGGAAGGGGAGGTTACTCAGTTATGAGGTGAAACTTGTACTGCTTACGGCATGTATCACTAGCATCTCGATGTACTTGATGTCTGTGATAAAATTTCCTAAATGGGCTATAAATGCTATCACATCTCAGATGGCTCACTTCTTTTGGGGTGACCAGGGAGATGAGAACAAATATCATCTTGCTAAATGGGGGATGATCTCTCAGAAAAAAGAGTTTGGGGGCCTGGGGATTCCCAACTTAAGAGAGTTCAACATGGCCTTGCTAGCCTCTTGGGAAAAAAGATACTTCATAAACCATGATAATGATTGGGGGAGACTAGTTGATCATAAATATAGAACTGATAAACCCAATTTGCTTTGGGCCAAACAGGGTGTAGGGTCGCCCTTTTGGAAAGGGGTTACCTGGGCTTTTGAGGGTATTAGACCTTTTTCAGATGGAACTTGGGCAAAGGGGACAAAATCAGTTTCTGGGACGACACTTGGGCTGGGGATTCTTCCCTGAAAACTCAATTTTGGGAGGTCTATGAAATTTGTCAGCAACAGAAATGTGTAGTAGCTGAGGTATGGGATGGTACTAATTTGAAACTCACATTTAATAGATGTGTGGATTCTAGTTTTATGAGTAAATGGCATGACCTGATTCAGATAATTTCTACTAAGACCCTAACTGATGAGGATGACCAGCCTGTCTGGCTTTTGGAACCATCTGGAATTTATTCTGTTAAATCTTTTTACAACATGATAAACTGGGGAGGGGTTTCTACCCCAATGTGGAAAAATTTCTGGAAAAATGTTGTTCCTAATAGATACTTGGTCTTTTTGTGGTTAGCATATAATAACAAAATTCTTACCAGAGACAATTTAAACAAAAGAAGGGTGGTTGATAACTTGTGTTTTTTTGAAATGAGAATGAATTTGTTCAACATTTATTCTTTGATTGCATAGTAGCTAAGCAGATTTGGCTTGATGTAGCTGATACTTTTAGTTTTAATATCCCAAAAGATATGGCTGAACTATCTTCCTTTTGGAAACTGAACAACAAAAAAACTGTGATTAACATTGCTTGTGTTGCCTCCAGCTGGGGGATTTGGACTATGCGTAATGATATGTGTTTTCATGGGATACCATGGACAAGTACCCGGGCGGTGTTGGGGCGGATCAGCTCATCTCTACACCAATGGAAGATCCTGTGCAAGGGCGACCAATCGGTGCT